CCATGTCAAAGTCACTCAGATATTTTCACTTGCCCATTTTTACTTCTTCCAACACATGAAATTGAAGAACAGACTGTTCACGTGCTGTTTAACATATCCCATCCCTTGACAGGAGCCATTGTAAAGATATAATCACTTTGCCCATCAGTGGTTTTAATGTTGTGGGTGATCAGTGTAATTATGCAGGTCAGAACAAATATTTTAAATTGCTATGGACTTTGCTCAACCTCCGGAGTTATGTAGATCTCATTTGGAACATGTATTCAAACACAATTTAAAAAAAATGTTTTACCATGCACATATTTTACATTTGTTTTTGGGTGATATCGATATATATTTTATGTGGATCACCTATTGCAATATCGACTTGTTTATGAGCATGTAACCTGCCTGATGATTATTATTGTTGCATTATATATTCCCAAAATATTATTTGTGGCATTTAATTGGTTAATGGCATGTTTCACGTAAAACTCTTTTGAGGGTGTGTGATAGGCAGATGGTTGGCATCACATCAAATAAACTTTAAAAAAAATACTACTTTGAGAACTATGTTACGTTAAAGAACATATTTTCTTTGGTGGGATTAAGCTTATTCCTAAATGCACAGGGAAAACAAATCTTAAATATTTAATGATACTTATAAATATCGTGCAAACAGGCCGCATGTATTACCTCCCACCTATCTCCATCTGTTGCTCTATACATCTAGAAAGATTCGCTTTATATAATACTGAGCATCAGAGGAAAAATAAAACACTAGTTTTTGGTCCACGTGAAGTCTAACAGGTAAAACAGCAGCGTGTCTCAATGCAGAGCCAATGCAATTAACAAAACAGGTTTTACCAGGAAAGATACATTGAGATTTCGCTAGTTTTCAAGTATGTCCTGGGTCCACAAAACATTGCATTGTTACAATAGGGTACAATAAAATACAAAAACAATATTAATACACAATAAATACAAAATTTAACATAGAACAGGTAGGAAATATATAATCAACCATGACAGGTGCGTTCTGTTTTGAGGTATGTAGAGAGGGATCTCTTAAAGGACTAATACTTAATATGTCTCTGCAAACAATCAGGTTTCTAATACATTACTTCCATTTCTACTACAGAAAGGTAGTTTGTAGACTTGGTGATTTGTTTCATTCTGAACTGCACTTCATCCAAATTTGGGCCGATCGGATGATGATTGGTTGGATTCCTGAACTCTGAGCCAAAATGTTGCTGAATCTCGAACCAAACAAGACGCACAACGGCTCAGCGTTTTCGGTTTGATTTGTGATTCTGTATTCCACCCCTGGTGTCGAAAAAAGAGTTGATGTATAAACATTTTATTTTACTGGTGCTGCTCTTTTCCCCTCTATTGGTTACTTTTTGCCAAATGACAGGAAAACGCTCCAATCGGCGTACTGCAAGATATATTTTTAATTTGTTATCTATCTAATTCATTATATAGACTGGGTCAGCTCCTTCATTTTCTGAGATCCAGCAATTCTACACGTCATACTTTATCGTGAATCCTCGGCTAGCGGGAGCTCGACATATCAATGGGAAAAAATAATGTAATTACAATCAGAATCATGATTCATTCCGTGATTATAGAAATATCTGAAAACTGTCACATTTATTAAAAGGTGTCCTACAACGCTTACTCTCCTTTTAGGTAATTTAATATATCAGTCCATTCCCCACCATCTTGGCGACTTTGTTTTTGTTCCCCTATAAAGCTCACCCTTATTACCATATCTGTGTGATCCATTTTATAAAACCCATGTAACGTGTATCAAACCTCATTCCCTTCAATTAACACGCTCTTTTCCTTCACTGTCTATTTTATTTTTCTCAGAGTAAAATAGAAAATAACGAAACTCGCAATCCGTCTTGCTGAAATCTGGGTGTTTTTATTTTATCTGTTCGATGGTTAGTGTTCTGTGAAATTGTTTTGTAAGTTCTGAATAATTCCAATACCGTTTTTTAAGCAATGCAAGTGAAAGAGCTTGGTTTTAAAACGCCTGTACCTTCTGATACGTAGTCAGGTTAATTCTACCAGCTGGTGAAATGCACGCGCCTCTGAATTAGGATGATTTAGTTCCACTTTTCTGGTGAATATTTCCTGATGTAATGGATATATCACTTATCATAGATTGAAATTGTACTTCAAATTGTATATGGAGCCATTGGGTAGATATGTACCCCCTCTGCAGCGCTATCAGGGCTCCCATATTTTAATTGTCGTGGGTACTAGTCTAGCTGTAACACAATCACCACTTCCTTGATCCCCCTCTTTTATCTAACTGTCCTGTATGCAAACCCAGCATCGCTTCCTAAAACAGAATACCCCTACTCTACACTTTAGCACTTTAAATTATTTACTGTAAACCCTTAAACAATCTTACCCTTCCATTCTTTTTCTTTCTCTTCCCCAGCTAAGATTTTATTCATCTACTCGTTGTTACACCTCCACACACCCCTTTTATGTGCTTATCTTTCTTGTATACCCTCCCGATCTCCCCATTCTCTCTTTTAGTCATTGTATGTCCTCACACCTTTTTACCACCACCACCCTACCAGCTACTTCTTTAATTGTCCTGTTGTGGATCAGAAATGTTAAACTTTGTTATATTCAGAGGAAGCCCAAATTGTTGTTACAAGTGCACTTGGAGAAGCGAGAATTAGACACCAGACACCTGTTGGTATTCAAAATAAGCCTCTGACGTTTTATTCATCAGCTGGGTTTTATACATTAAAAAGTAAGTGCTTACGTGCAAATACTCTTAGAACAGTAATAGGAAGGGAGTACAGATAAGACATAGGGATGAGCGTCATGTACACATAACAAATAAGTTTCAAGGTAAGAGAGTTGCTCCCGGAACTTAGAAATATATGGTCTTAAGTGTTGTTTAAGCATCAAGCATTTCCTGAGCCCAAGTTAGCCAATTTTAATATAGGATATCATTATATGACGCCTATAAGCTTGAGCCTTGGAATCAAGATAAATTCTATCACAGTCCACATTACTCTCAGCTCATCTGGTTTGTCTGTTGTTCGTCGATTAACAATCTGTTTTTTTTTTTTTTTTAATTATTTTTTGCAATAATAATCTTCTGTTCTTACTGATCATAGAAATGCAATGACTTGGGATCTAGCCATCATTATATGCATGAAGAGGTAAACATCTTTTATTGTAGACAGTGACAGCAAAACTACAAGAAACCAAAAAACACAACGTCCATTTCTAACAGAAAATAAACTGTATAAACACCAGGCTCGAAGGTTGCTCATTGAAAAGTGGATGAAGTCACCAAACACTACAGGAGTTGTGCTGATCCTACGGTTTTGCCTTGTTTAAGGTTCTGCAGACACAAGCATTGCAGTGTATTTAAAAGCCCCAACGTATATAATGTTCTGCAAACACAGAACCTGTTATTCAGCCAACATCAACTCCCAAGTCCCTTATGCCAAATATAAACAAGCGAGTTCATTAAAAAGAAATATTTACCCCTGTGAACAAGGGATTACTCTGCTCATGGCTGAATTCTGAGAGTTGAAACTACTGTGACCGTTCAATAACATTTTTTCTTTTCCCTATTTTTAAGAATAGGACTGAACACAAATGGGTCAGAAAAATAAGCAGTTTTGTTGTTGTTTGTTTTGTATTCTTATAATGTAAACTTTAAATGTGTCAGTTTCACGTATTTTATATTTATTTCAGGGTGACACCCTGTGCGATATTATACAGATTAGAGGAAGGACAGATGAAAAATATCAGCCATGAATGCAAAAGAAAAATATAATTAAACAAAAAAATAAATACAACGTACCTTTCTATGTGACTTTATTCAAGTTGAATGTTTTTAAACAATTCAAATCTGACGATAGTATGACTTTTATCACAGAGGTTTAGTGAATACATTGTATAAACATACTTAACGTTGATGGCGCCTACCTGTAAATACGGAAATACAGAAATTAGTGGGTTACACGCTTTAATACATTATTATAGAAAATATTTATTTTTTGAAATGCTACAATATGGATCCAAAGCAAATGCAGTTAAAAGACAAAGGTTGATGGAGATGATTATAATCAGAATATAATGGAAATATAATGTCGATTCATCGATAGACTTTGGAGAAACAAAAGAAAGCAACAAGACCTGAAGAAAAGAACGAGAAAAGATTGGGAGAAACAAACAAGGAAATCCATCCGGGGGCACACAAGTAGTCTATCACAGTAGATTCGTATGTCCAAACCATGGAGACCAAACCATAAAATAAAGCTGTGGGCATCTACCACTTGAGTGCTTACTCTGTCCATGTTCTCTCATTCAGATATTAACCATTTAAACCTCTGCTGAGATAATGATATCCACTGTCTCCAGTGTTTGGCCAGTGACATTCTGGTCTACAGGACAATTAGAGCAATAAATACATTTCCAGCCCGGTGTGGAAGTAGGAAGACCCTCAGGTAGTTCTGTCAAGAGGCAAGGTCATCCATGAAGGTGTCTTTAAAAAACAAAACAAAAAAATGCTATTATTGAACGTATGTCATGCCCTTGCACGGCCCGACACTTACCTCCCCCGCTTCTTTTTACCAAACGCCGGATCATGCTCCTCTAAAGGAAGCAAGAGCCGCATCTAGTCCTTCAGGTTTGACCAAACTATCGTGCACAATCATCAGGCAAGATGCATGCCCGCAGATCATGTGGATTCTTAAAGGGGAAGAAGGCATTCCTAAAAGGGGGAGGACCCAATACTTAAAGAGTTGTGTTCATTTTCTCCAATTTCAACCTGCCCATACCTGAGTATTCTGTGCTCCTGGCTAAGATCAGTTGTTTCCTTGCTCCTGTTCTGATTATCCGACCCGTTACCTGACATTGACTTGTCTCCTGTTTCAGAGGCTTTGGCACACAATGTTCACAGAAACACAGTGTAATGTTCAGATACACAGACATTTAGACATACACACAATGATGCCACAATAAGGTGTTACGTGATCTTGATAGAAGGAGATTTGGGATGATTCAAAGGCAATTGGAGTTTTTCCTCGAACTGTGGCCAGGACCTGATTTTTGTCCGTCAGGGGTTGGCAATGGACAATGACATCCTGAGAGGCTGTGGTTGGTGCCTGTCTGGGCTTATTGATTCGGAAGAATCCGTCAAATGCAATTTTCTTCGCCTGGCTGTGTGGGAGAAGTGTGTTAGTGAGGCGGCGGAGGTAGTGAGGTAGTTCGGTCATGGTGATGGAGTCGGGATGCCCCTTAGATTAAGATTGGTGTGTCTGTTATGTTCTTCAGCCAGATCTACTCTTGTTCTCAAGGTAGAGTGAGATGTCAATAGCTTCTGGACCGTTTCCTTTAAGCCTGTTACCTCCTGTCTCATGTCAAGGATGTCCTCCTCAGAGGCTTGTGTCTGGGCTGTCACCGCTTGCAATTTGGTGCACAGTAGGTCTATGTATCTGCCTCATCTCCTGTTGCAGGTTGGCTATGTCCTGTTTGGTGGCCGGGGCCTGCTTTTCTTGTTCCCCAAGTTTGGTTATAGGAGGTCGGGGTGTGTGCGGTTCCTCCAGGTCCTCCATTATGTCATCTGAGCCGTGTGGGCTATGTCCACGGTCTGGTGAGGCCACCAGTTTGGAGGCTGCTGGGCGCTGTAGCAAGGCACTTATGTCCTGGGTCTTTATGTGTATCTGGTTGCGTTTTTTGGGATCTCTAATTTTTTCAGCCTCACGGGAGAGAGGGTCTGTGCAGAGGCTGGAATGTACCTGATACATCAGCAGTCCAGGTTAATAGCTCTAACGCAGACCGCCCGATGTGGAAGTCGATGTAGGCCCCAGATCTCCAATGAGTTTTCTTGCCCGTTTGTGGGAACATAAACGGCATCAGTAGGTAGCCTGCACTTAAAGAGTTCCTATGGTGGTGTTTCATACCGAGGGTGGCTCTGTGGGACAGCAGCTTAGCGTGGATTATGTGCCAGTTTGCAGGAGGGCTGAGAGTTGTCGGCCATTCCGTTCAGATGATAGCTCCACCCCCATTGATACACAGACATTTAGACATACACACAATGCTCACAGAAACACAGTGCGATGTTCAGATACACAGGCATTTAGACATACACACAATGCTCACAGAAACACAGTGCGATGTTCAGATACACAGACATTCAGACAAACACACAATGCTCACAGAAACACAGTGCAATGTTCAGATACACAGACATTTAGACATACCCACAATGCTCACAGAGACATAGTGTGATGTTCAGATACACAGACATTTAGACATACACACAATGCTCACAGAAACACAGTGCTATATTCAGATACACAGACATTTAGACATACACAGAAAACAGATTCTCTCTGCCTCTCCTTATGTACAATGTTTGTTTTTGAGTTTTTAAAGTATGATGGTTATAATGTATTTAATGAGTGATTTATTTATGTGAGTGGCCTTAATTGTGTTATGAATCTATGTGTGAGACGGAGTCATGTAACACGATGAATGTGTATTAATAAAGAACATTCGATTCCAGACTCACCCCTTTCCTGGGCTGTAGATCATCTGGGGAGAATGAGAAGCAGCCCAGAAGTAGCCAATGGCTTTGAATGGGAAGGTATTGGGGTAAAGCACCTGTAGGGCTTACCTACTTTATTTATAGAATAATTATGGCCGTTTTCACTCTCCTATGTTCCTCCCAGACACCCTCCCCCCTATTCTCCCCAAGTTTTTCCTAACCCCTTCTGTCATGTATGCAACCAGATTTGATCCTTATTCGCTATGCCCACCTGCCAATTCTGTCTCTATCTCCATGACTCTCATTCTGATACTAGTTTGCAACTTTATATAACAATCTCCCACACTTTTTGATTAGTTTGCAAAGTCCTCTCCTTTGTGGGCGCGGGGGATCAATACCACAGACCCAGTGGCCACACTAAACATACATTACATGTGGGAAAGAAACTTAATTGCAGAACTCGCACTGCAAGGTCTCCAAAAGGATGGGGTCCTAGGCGTGTGCCCCTCTTGCTCTGCCCAAAGAGAGTGTCAATAGCATTTTGCAGAGCCCTGTAAAACACAGATACATTGTTTTACATAGTTACACAGTTACATAGTTACATTGTAACATATTTCCATAGTTACATAGTTACATAGCTGAAAAGAGACTTGCGTCCATCAAGTTCAGCCTTCCTCACATTTGTTTTTTGCTGTTGATCCAAAAGAAGGCAAAAAAAAACCAGTTTGAAGCACAATTTTGCGACAAGCTAGGAAAAAAATTCCTTCTTGACCCCAGAATGGCAGTCAGATTTATCCTTGGATCAAGGAGCGATTACCCTACATTGAAAGATTATATCCTTGAATATTCTGTTTTTGCAAGTTTTTGAACGGTGATTGTATTTACTCCATGTAAAATGCAATGAGTAATTCAGACCACACGTGTCCTATCTCGCTCTTACCAACAGTGTAAGCATTAGGCGATTGATGGTTGAGCACCTAGAAACCTAGATTTAGAGAAGTATGGATCTGTATGTATTCTTCGAAATGGCAGGCTCTTCTTACTTTTCTCTGCACATAAAACACAGCCTTTTGCGATTTGTTAATATTCTTTCTTTCTTGACAAGATTAGACATTCTTTTTTATGTATCAGTAATTTCCACATGACTTGACATAATTACCTTTTCCCATTGCTTATTTTGTTAGATTTAAAGTCTGTCTTTATTAATCATTCAGCCGCGCTCTCTGTAACCTTGCCTGGCTGATAGCTGTGCAATGAATTCCACACAGTAAAATGGGAAAAGCCAACGTTCTACTGGCAGGATTGTACAGGGACTTTGAGACTATATCTATGTATAAAAGTAAAATATGTTTTATATTGAGTAAATATTCTGACCCAGATTTCCTACTTTTAACCACTTATAAACCAGTGATCTAAACTCTACCGTTATGACGATCTCGTTTATAATATGATCTCAGAAAATGGAATACAGATGTTTAGTGGAAACTATAAAGAGCAACTGGTACTAATATATCATAGACATCGGCGTGAGGTTTGTATAGATCATATTGTCATGGCTACTTGAAATATTATTGCTCTGTTATGCGTTGAAGGGTTCCCGGTACTTCAACCAAAAAAACTGTGTTCTAATAAAGCACTGTTTTTTGTCAGATAAACCCTTTCTATACTGCCCAATTGATATAGATCCAAATATTCATCTTCGGTATTCAGGGAAGCCCAAATTATTATTATATAGAGAAGAAAAGGAGGAGACCGTGTCCCAAACAGTATAATTAAAAGATATATATGTACACAAATCTTTTGTGGTGATGTACATACAATTGACCTCCAAAACAGAAGGACATATAAATACAATAGTGCAATATGGTATATCCAGTGAGTAGGTACTAGAATAATCCTATATGGTATCACTCATATTTGCTAGAGCTAACTCAGAGCTCAGCTGTAGTGCGCATGGACAGAACAATCCCCGTCTAAGGATATATGTAGATATTGACGTCTCTGGTTGTCTCAGATAAGGTGCAGTTTGCAGGTCGTATATAAAAAACATAGGAAAATATTCCAATAGTGAAGTAAGTACTTACAAATATTAAAAAGAAAATGAAGTAATGTACTCACATTTACTAGAGCAGAACTTCCTCTAGTGTATACAGCATAGGCAGTATAATCCCCACCTGGGAATATGATGGTAGCCAGTAAAAGAATAAAATGAAGGTATAGAGTAAATTTAAAAATTTACAATTTATTTAACAAAAACAATAAAACAATATAGGATATCTTCAATGGGTCCCACTTTACGCGTTTCACCTGTAGAGGCTTCTTCAAAAGTGTGGGGTAAGTCCTCATTACTTTCGTTTATATAGGCAGTCTATTACTTGTGATTACTTCTTGATGTGCTTCAATTTTAATTTCCTGGTTCCTGCAACCACTGTGAAACGCATGCGTCACACCAGAAGTGACGCTGCGTTTTTTGCATTGGTAATCGATGCGTTCCATGGTGGAACGTGTGGCGGAAGCAGCCTCGCCACTGGGCATTGAAGAAGACTGATTGCCAGCCTCCTGCCATGTGACTATGGCCCCTGGGATGTATTGCCTGCTCTCCTGTACTGCTGAGGATTGCTACCAACTAGGTGGATTTGGCTATGGAGCTTGTGTAGTGCCCTCTGTTGGTAGCAACAGTAATATGCACTACCTGAATAGCAAGACTGGTAATTTGCATATTCTGGTAGATTTGCATATCACTAATTCTGCATGCAGGAGAAACATTTTGTATTAATTATGGTCGTCCCCACAGATTTATAAATATGTAATTATGTTCTAATAAGTCACTGTATGTTGCCTGCTATGATTTGACTGTTTGTAATTTTATTGAGTTTTCACAGCAGTGTTAATGTAATGACCATATGGGTTAGTCCCAAGTAAAAGAAAGTTTTAGACAGTTCTGCTTCACCTCAAAACGAAGTGTCGTCTTGTTATTGGGGGAATTGGATTGTATGCTGATTGCCAGGAGTGTAAGCTGATTGTATGCTTTTCCTGTTCAGCTGCTTACAGCATTCATATGCTTGAGAGCATTCGTATGCTTCTCCTGTTCAGTGGTTGTGGTGTCTGCTGCAGTGCTTGGAGGCCTCAGGAAGAGCTAGGTGCATCCTTCAATGGAGGTACCCAGTCAGGGTGCCAGGTGATCCGTTACAGAACGCATACGGAGCCAAAATGGCGCCGCTGCGTTCCGATCAGCTAATGCCGATATCGGTTGGTGGAACTTGGAGAAGCATGAATTAGACACCAGACACATGTTGGTTATCAAAATAAGCCTCTGTCGTTTATTCATCAGTTGGGTTTTTATACATTAAAAAGTAAGTGCTTATGTGCAAATACCCATAGGACAGTAGTAGGAAGGGAGGGAAAAAGGAGTACAGATAAGACAAAGGGATGAACGTCATGTACATATAACTGATAAGTTCAGAGAAAGAGAAAGAACAGACTGATTCGAGAAGAGACAGCTCAGGTGGGGGCTATCTGCTCCCAGAACTAGACATATATGATCTTAAGTATCGTTTTAAGCATCAAGCATTTCCTGAGTCCAAGTTAGCCAATTTTAATATAGGTTATCTAATATGACACCAATAAGCAAAGTAATCCAAGAATATCCCCATACAGATCCCAATGACTGGACGACACACAGCATCAGGAGCAGAACTGATGTTTATTCCACACAACCTCCTTTTA